CCATAGCGAACAAAAATGTTATCTAGTACAAATTCAAGGGCAGTCATATTATCAAAGCAGGTCCAATTGACATAGTTCTTTTGTTTGTTGTTACTAAAAAATGACCTAAAAGAGTTTGAACATATATATTCGCATTCTAACTTTTAAATGCCCATCTAATTAGGTGGGTGATTTTTTTCTTAATAAGATTATGGGGTAAAGTGGTATATAGGGTAGAAAAATCAAAACTTTGAACAGATTCGAAATCACCAATATAAGCATGCAATTTATCAAGTACATCCAAAGAATTTTTGACACTCCAAAAGAAACTAATTCCACTATTTTCAAAGGCCGTATTTGAACAGTTTATTACCAGGTTTTTGATTGTACCAAGTGTACTAGTAAGTAGAAAAGACAGTTTAGTAGTGGAACAATGGCTTGAAGACGAAATAAATCTATATTTGTAAGGTGTTTTGTGCAGCTTCGGAAGCCAGTACATAGTTGGAACTTTCATTGTATTTGGTTTTGCTTGTAAAGAGGTAGCTAAAAGTTTATGTTTGTTAATGATGTCATTTTCCGAAAATGGATTCGGTTGGAATATAGGTGAATTCGTGACCTCAATGTAAAATTCACGTCAAACAATAATGATATTATTAGCAGCCTTATCAGCCGGGACAAAAACAAATTCCTTGGCGAGTTCTTTTAGCTTGTTTGATACGAGAAATAGGGCTATTATTGTTGTTGTTAGGAGTAAAATGTTTTTAAAATGTTTTATACGAATATCAACTATGTTCATTACTGAATTTAAAAAAAAAGAATCTAAGGATTTTTTGTCATCTTTTTCTCGTTTTATCCATTTCGAGCAGTAAGTACGGAGTGAGTCGTGGGTGATGTTACGACACTCATTCCAATTTATATTAAGGACCTTTACTGAGGAATGATTTCAACTCTCGGTCATGAACGATGTTAAGGTCTCCTGTTATTACATGGGAACTGGGGCCATAAATGTATTCGGAATTACTGCAATTTCATGACGTCGGTGTATTGTCACTGATATTTACATCTTTACACACTTTCAAAATAATTAGTTTCATAGAAAAAACAATGTCCTATGTACATACAAATATCTTGGAACTGGATTAGACAAATCATTCTTTGAAAAATTCACCCTGATTCAATCCAAAATATCTTTGAAACTGAAATCATCAAGTTGCTTGATCTTTTTATTGACATAATCTTTGCTATGTAAGGTTGACTTGCTTTTCAAGTCGTTACTAATTCTTATGGTTACCAACAGTGCTCCATATCTTACCGACTTGTTCCTTTGTTTGTATCAGGCAGACAAGAACTTCTAAGGAAGAATGAAAATAAGCTATCCTTCTCTTTAACTTACAAATGATGCCTTTCATTGAATAATTCAAAGAGTGACTTTGCTGATCGTTTGTATTCACTTGACCTTTAAATAAAGGATACCACATATGCAGTTAAGTCTGCTTCATTACATGACTAATATTTAGAAATTAACAATGATGATCGGTTAAAAAATTAACTTTGAGACAGAAAAGGAGATTTAAATTGTCCCATTGTGAACTTTCAATTTCTGTGTATCAACATTAAACGCCTGCATATCGAGAATAAATGCTAGACTCAAATCAATGTCAATTCTGTGACCTTTCCTCTGAAATGCACATATTGAATTTGGCAACTCTACATTTCTGAGAGCGCTCAATCCTCCTCTAACCTTGGGCAGTGGTGTAACAACATAAGAAACAGTTGGAAACGGCTTGACACATCAGTTTGACACATAGCTCAAAAATCATCAAACAAAATGACAAATGATACAAAGTATCCATTTCAGAGTAGTCAAATATAGTTTACCGTTTTGGCCTTCAGTGTTTCGTAACTTATTTGACGAACCCCCCAAAAGCACCAATTACTTAATACTTTTATTAACCAACCAAACAAGGGAAATGTTTTTTAATGCTAATATTGTCTGATTGTAATTATGTTTGTATAAAAAGAGCTTTAATATCTAATTATTCGAAAACATTTTTTTTTAGTCTTTAGCCTTTTTATGTTTTGTGACATGAACAAAATTAGAGCTATTAAATATTGCATTAAAGCAAATTACGGATATGGCTGTAAACAACGACAGCACCATATCCAATACTATTAGTTACATAGTGTGCTAGTGACCTAATACGATATATATGGAATTTACTGACCCCATATGTATCGTATTAGGTCACTAGCACACTGTGTAACGAAATTATCTTGCCGACTACCTTAACATGTGGTATTTGTACTAGTGGCCTATCAAAATGATCAAGTCTTCAATACTCAGTATTTAGAACCTACTTCAATTGGTCAATACAAAAACATATGCCAACAGTAACAACTTGTTAGCTTTAAATGTGTTTTATGCATTTATTTCAATCGTTCATTATCAATTTCTTCGTCTGTTGAAACCTTTCAGGTTATCCTCAACACCGTGTTGTTTTTATAAAGGGACGTAACACCACTACTAACCGTGTATTGAAATAAGCCCCGCCTACTAACCCCGTCATATGGAATATACACGGTCTCCACGCGGTTGCTTTTAACCAATCATATTCCTAGAATAGAAATGTATAGGAGGTAAGATAAAAAGCAATCTTTCAGTAAATTTGTAATGCAGTACTAATGTTTAAAAAAAATGGTGCGGCTGCAGCTTTTGCATATAACATTAAGCGATTTCGTATTGTCGTCATGCCATTGCCGTATATTCGTTTTCTTTTACACTATTTTGCAAGGACTGATTAAAGTGTTTAAACTTTAATATCCTCGATGACATTTCCAGAATTCTGACGTCAACACATAGAAAAGGGCATGACTTTTCAAAAAAGTCCACAGATTTTAGAATAGAATGAAAATTGATTTGCGACGTCAATGTAGGGTAGAACATAGATATGAGGATGTACATAAATTAGAGGCTGGACAAATATTTGACTCTTACATATATTTCCCAGTTGATACGATATACCAGGGCTAGCATTTTCTTTAGTGTGACAGCTTAAAAGGAATCCATAGAATCATTGATTCCCAAAAGTCGAGTTAAATGTCCATCCCTTTTTAAGTTACTCTGGCGCCTTCATAATTAAGTTGATCGTTATGAAATATCTATGTCTGCTAACTCACTGATAGTGACTAATTATCGACGTTTTATTTACCTTAAGCAATATTTGATGTCTGCCACAAGTAGAGCAGGACCTGCTTGTTCTTCTTGTTCATCTCTTGGTTTATTAACCCTAGGTAAATTAAGTTGTTCGCCCTGTGGTTAATTTTAACCCATGTTGAATACTTGGTTAATTGATTCAGATTTAACCTTGCTTCAGACCTCAGTTATATTTTTTACCAAAGAATATAGTTATCCAAAAGTACAATTTCCTGTTTATTACATGATTGGAAAGGTCACAAAAAGTTTGGTAAAACATATTCTCAGTTTTATATGACCATAAGTAATCAAAAATTGATTATTAAGTTTTACAGTCCTTCCCACATTCAGCATCGAGGTTTACGTTCATATGTGTACCTAAATGATCAAATCAACATTGTTTTACCTTGTTATTTTATGTCAAATATCAAATTCATGCAGAAAAAATAAAATATGTTTAAGTTAGATAATGTATAGATCTATATCTCTAGTCACAATCAATGGATAATTCTACGATCGACGCTTCTTTTCAATCAAAGGTGCTATCTGTCACGTCCACTTTGTTGTTGTGCTATTTAAGGTGTATAAACTGTTAACGCCTTCTTGGATTGTAATATAGCAGTGCTAGTTCTTTGAGACAGATTGGCAATTACTTTGTTAGACTGTTTATTTGAATAAAGAAAGAAAGATAGTGATTTGTTTCATTATTCTAATTTTTTAAGAAATACTAAATATTTGTTTTGTTTTCAAATAAATTGTTCAACTTAGGTATTTAAGGGGAGATAACTCTAATAAAAAAAGAATATAAAGGAATGTTGATGAAATTTTGTTGTTTTAATTATAGCAAGACCTGTGACACCATTTTTATTTTTATTTTTATTTTCTTCTATCGTCTCATATTTTATTTCAAATTTCTATCTCATGGATTTTTTTTTTCACAAAAAAATATTTTTTCATGAATAATCGATGCAATATTCGGCAATTTTGCACTTGAAGCTTGAAAAATAGCAGAGTGACTCATAATTTTATTATATTTTTAATGTTAATATATTAACTAAGGATTATATTCAACCAAGTGATGAACAACTGAGTCTTGGAATACCCGATTTCACCCCTGGTATTTGGTTGGGTTATTTTTTTTATTTTTTTCTGTGAAGTGTTTTGTAGTGTGCTGTTGGTACACCTGCCAAGATACTCCTGATTTGAGGACACCTATGTAATTAAGAAAATAAAATGGAAGTCATTGTTGTCATGTTTCACAGTTATTGCAAACGATATTGATTTGTGATTTTCTACAATATCTTAAGTGGGTGTGATTGTGGGAGTATATGTAGGGTTTCAAAGTATAATGTTTATGTTAAACTTTTTATCAACCATTCAGTGACTGTGATTTAGATAATAAATTTGCAAGGAGTTTTCATATAAAGATTTCCTCAAAAAGTGTGTGTGAAGGATGAATTTACAGTTTTGAGATACTATTGTGAAAAAGATAGCAAAGCAGTTTTGCCTTAAAATAATGACCACACAGAAATCACTGATATCAATAACATATGGCTGACCTTTCAGAATTTTATAGAACTGCTGTTCAATTCGCACTTTTATGTCCTCTCTTTATTGATCTGTTGTTCAATACACATCCTCGTTTAGCCTCTCTTTTCAAATATAACATGCATAACATACCAGTTCTTGTAAGGCTAACATGTTAATAGTGTCTTTTACTTTTCTCACTTAAAAGCAGATAGATTTCATACTCGTCTCAATTCTTAAAAATTAGAATATATCAATGTATATTTGTAACAAGTGACATGGGTTAAAAAGAAGAGAAACGTTTAAACATTTATTACAACTTTTATTTTCTAATGAATTTCAAATAAATCTATACTTTCTATTTAGTATAATAAAACTAAAATTCAATTCTAATCTCTAACACATTTTACATTCAGTTTAAACACCACAAACAAAAAATTCAGATCTACTTTCTAAGCATTTTTTTTTCAATTCTCCTGTTTTAATAACAAACCATAATATACCATACAGTAACATGTAAATCCCAAGTATCCTCCATGTAAAGACATCTATTAATATCAGACAATCTGTTACCCTTCCAATCATTCTTATGGGGTTTCATATATGATAGAAGGGTTTGCACGTCAATGCCAGTAAAAATAATTATTAAACTATTTATATGAAAATACAAATGACAACTTAAACTTTACATTTTACTTTATTTGATTACAAAGTTATCAGTTGTTTAATTTTTGGATGCATGTGGAATGTTTGATCATCTGAGTCATGTGGGGAAAACACCTACATACTTAAATAAAGAAGTAAATTGTGGGGACTATTTTCGCATATCAATTTTTGCAAATATATTTGTCTATTTGAAGATTTTCCTACAAGCAAGCCATACTTACAGAACCTTCTGTTAAATAAGGTCTTTGGTCATCATGTCAAAGGACTAAAACTAGTTCAATATCATAAACTTCTATATAATAAGACTTATTCTAACAAATCACCATTCACCTTTTTTTAAAGTATGTTAGTAGATAAATATATTTTATAAACTAAAGACATTCATCAAAGAAATTCTCCAACAAATTCTTTACAGGAGTTCTCCATTTGTATTGATATGAAAAAAAACTTTAAAGCAGGTTCCTTGAAATTATAACATTACTCATTATAAAGTTACACAAAACTAATCTTTATACAATTAAGACAATCATAAAACATGTATTAATAAGTCATACTATATTAACTTATAATCAGCTGCCAGGGTACAAAATATTTAATAATAATATTCCTGTATAAGGCATTAGTAAACTTGATGGGTGGAAAATTTGAATTTGCAATAACTGACTATTACTTTAATGAATACTTGACAATTTATATAAGTACTTTTATATCTGAATGAAATAAAGCATTGAAATGGACATACTATCAATGAGCACAATCAATGCTATAAAAACTCTATCATATTACAAAGGGAGCATTCAAATTTAAAATTACATTTTTATGCTATAACCATGAAATTGACAAGTTAAATCAAGCTTTTTGCTGTTTTTTCCTATGCATTGGTGAAAAATTATCATGGAGGGCATGTGCAGTCATAGAAGTAGGATTTTATTGGAAAGAAACATAATTTTGGAAAGCCTCAAGATTGATTTCTATCAATCAAATTACATGATCTTATGAAACATCTTTGTAACGTTATTATTGACTGATATAAAAATATGACAGCAGTTTTGTACTATCACTATCTACTAAAGCTCCCTGAATGCAATGAAATGCATGATATTAAGCCTTTAAAAATTACACAAGTATATGTTGAATGATGAATGGAATATCAAAATAAATATAATTGAAATGTGTAATGTAAAAACATGAGATATGATCCTCTGAGATATAAAAAAATATAAATAAACTTGGACGGCAACTTAGGATTTAAAGCAATGTTTTACTCATTATCCATAATAATCATTTGTGTTGATAAACAAAAAACAATAACTTCAATTTACTTAACAATTATATTATATTTTAAACCTTCTCTCATGTTAATTTATTCTGTCAAAATGGATAAGCACTTTTCACAGGCAAGGGTTTTATTTTTATTTCCTTTAAAACAAGAGAGTGGAACCTGTATTTGTAAAACCAAAATAAACTGTACATAAAGCCAAAATGTGGTTTCTATTTAACCATAAAAACTGTTTATAATAATAAGAAAAAACTGTTAATAATAATAAGAAAAACAACAATTTTTTTTATTTAAAGAGTGTAACCAAATTAGTTTTTTATCGTTGATTGCAAATTATAATTAGGATTAAGGTGTATAATTAAAGGTTCAACAAAGTACAGAATAAAAAGTTTAAAATGATTGGGTCAAATCAAATCTTGCTGAATTCTCCATCTTGTTCTTCTGTCTTATCTTCTCTTTCTTCTTTTTCTTTCATTTCTAAAAGTAGTTTGTTGAAATCTTGAAAAGCTGCCATGATTTCCTCTTTATTTTTCATTGAACAAGTATGAATTATCCACTTACGAGCAGTTGATTGTAACCCAAGCTCCAATTCTTTTGTTATCTAAAAATCAAGTAATGTTGATTATTCATACAATAAAATTGAGATACATAAATGAAAAGTTTGAGAGACAGATTTGTGAAAGCAACTTTGCTTGTTTCTGACTACTAGGTGTTTTTTTCATCTGTATTATATTGTAATTTGATGATTTATCTGAATAAATACTGTTTCAATTAAAAGTTAACACCAATCAAATTATTTTTCTATGTCCCAACAATAAAAGGGTACAGGAGATAATACTTTTTATGTAAATGCCATGAATGAATGGATCAATTAACCATCAAATTTAAAAGCCATAATAAATCTGGGAGCTTTTAAATCTGGTGCCAAAAAAAATTGATTTAATGAACTTTGAAAATACTATGATCATCAATATGTTTTTTAGTCTCTTTTGATTCATAAAATTTATTAAATGATTGAAATTTACCCATGATTGGCAAAAAATGGGCAGAACTCTATACATCTAAAATATGTACTATTGATCAACAAAAATAAATGTTATATCTGAATTTTCTTCAAATGACATTTAAAATTTAAAAGATAATGGTTAAAACAGTCCCATAGTAAAATACTTCATGTACCTGTTCTTTACTTCTGGCGCCCTCTTTATCTTGTTGATTGCCCAGCACTAACAAAGGGAGACCATCCAACTCGGGGTCTGCTAAGGCTTTGTGTAGTTCTGCATTAGCAGTTTTCATACTCTCTTCACTACTAGCACTATCTATTACAAATATTACTGCCTGAGCTCCACAAAAATACTTGTTCCAGTACATTCTAACATTGTCACTACCTGCAATTGCATTAAATGTTGAAGTTAATTCAGATTTATATATGAGCATATAATGGTTTACTTTTACAAATTGTGTCTTGGATGGATACCAGATCTTCTTATATCTATATACAGCTCTTCTTTATTTTAAACAAGATGATCCTGTCTTTTAAATGTTGGAAGTAAATGAAAGATAATCTCATAAAAAAAACTGACATATTTTAATAGTGTTTCACTGTGTCCTATTGAGCAGTCAGGGGACTTATTGAAATAAGTGATTTTTAAATCACTTATTTAAGTAGCAAATTCAAAGTTTTGTCACAAATTGTGATTTTGTAGTTTTACCAAAATTTTAAACACATTAGGTTTAGATAATATTTTTTCATTAGTAAAATTGAAAAAAATGAACTTTTTGCTTCTTTTTAAGCAGCAAGGTTTATGCCTTTGATGCAATAATTTAGCTGCAAATTCTATTTTAGTTGAAAAAATGCTATAAAAATGGCTTTACATAATGAACTGATACTTTCTTAACAGATTTTTCCCAGCAGTGGGAGTATTTTTCCTGTAAAATTCAAGGTTTCATCTTATAGATTATGTAATAAAATTCTACTGTTCGCGATCAAAATTTCACTGTTCGGGGGGAGTTGAAATTAGTGGGGGTTATTAAAATAATGATACTTAAAGAAGTGATTTTTTGGAAGGAAATTGAGGTATGATACTTAAACAAGTGATTTTTATGTCATTATCCTAGATTTAGTACAAGGTCATCACCTGACATGACCTGGTCATCCTATCAACACAGATGTTGGTTCTGATAATCTTAGCAACATAATTAGTCCCTGGATCATTAGTATTCTATATTTAAAGCTACAATAAAATTAAATCACTTAGTCTAGTGATTAATTTGTACTACTTAAATAGGTGATTATTAAAGAAAGACAACTCTTACTTCCAACCTTTATGGACATAATGTTACTTGAATCAGTGATTTAGAAAATCACTCATTTAAGTAAGTCCCTTGACTGTTGAGAAGCATGGATCCTCTTTACTGACTTGACAATACTCATATCAATCATGTCAATAAAATGTGCAAATCAAGATATCATTTGAATAACATTCTGCTCAAGTTTTTCATAAGTTTGTCAGTTTTGTTTCATGGATATATGTTTTACATATATCTGATCATATTAAGGATTTTTTTTTGTAATTTGGAAAGTCAATGACGTTTTCCATTTTGAGTATTGTTCTTTTATTAACAAGCTTTATCTATATATAATAAACCCCAGTTCCCATTCCCAGAATAACTTTGCCAACCCTGTTGATTGTTGTTAACTTAACTTCCTGTTGCAAATAGTTTAAACATATTCATGACAAGACCTTCTTTTAACATCTTAATTCATAAGTATATCACAACAAGCAATCTTTTGGGGATTTCTTCAATAAGTTTGGAATTCTTAAACACTTTCCTATCAAAAATTAAAAAAAACAAGTGTAAAGTTTTCTGTTCAGAACTTACTCACTTTCCCCTTTAAATTTTAACATTTATTCAAAATTTCCTTGTATTTGAGGATATATTTTACCAACCTCCAAGTTCTTTGACATCTACAAAGCAGTCTCCAAACATTAAAGCTTTGATACTGAAACCTGTAATATAAGAAAAGTTTAATGATGTGTTTTTAAGATATAGATATCTAAAGATATGAAAAAGTACATATGTTTTAATTAAGAGTTCATAACTTTATGATCACAGATAACTGTTTTATGGCTTCACTCACCACACAAAAACTGACCTGTGTGCAAATACTTTGTACACAAACAGTGTCTTGACCCGATAGGTACATTTTTTGTACATCATAAAGGTGGCTCATTACGTATAATTGACAATTATACATTTCTCAATTCTTATATTATAGTATTATATGTCTCTGATTAAACCATGGCCAATATTATCTTTAATTATGACATAGTTCTTGCATGATAGTCGGGTTTCAAACTGTAGTATCTGTCTGTACATATCACATGACCCAGTTAGTTCACATAGAATATTCAAGTTTATTTACAATTAATTGCAATCTATTCTATTTTATAAATAAAATGCATGACTGTACCTTCAAACTGGATATCTATATCCATAATTAATGAATAACAGAAGTAATCTTGCAAATTTTATCCATAAACACATGTTAAATCTATTTATATCTACTTCCTGTCATTTAGGCGGGAAAATAGGGAGACTTAGTTGTTGACATTGAATATGGTTACTTATAGATCTATAGACCAAAGATAAATTTATAGATTTAGGAATTCTTTTAAATGGTTCATGGCAAATAAAGAATTAGATTTCAGTGCAGTATTAAGTCTGTATCTGTGTTTGATTATCACCAAAGACAAGAAAGGTTAATATTTAAATGAAATCTATAGCACAATGTTCTAAAATTTATGAAAAATTTCTTTTTATTAAAATCTAAGATAGAAACTGGTTCAAATAATAAAACAATATTTGCAATTGTTCTTGTTAATTTTATATCTTCTTATGACAGGAATCCTTTCACATACAACAACTTTCTTTCTAGAAACTAGAAAGTTTTTTAAATTGAACATTTTTGTTCTCTTTTGAATGATATTTTATTTTTATTGATTTTGGATTTTATAAAAGATTTAATTACTTTAAATTCAGATGAATATTTTATTATGAATCATAATTTATTTATTTTTAAAAAATATTAAAGTATACAAATGTTTTTTTGATTGACTTCTTTTTTTACCAATAATTTTCTGACTCAATGTCTACATAACACAGAACCACAGTATTAAAACATAACAAGAGACATAAAAACTACAGTAACTAGAAATAGAGCTAAGCAACGCGATGGGACACAACTGATTGTATGAAATATTTCACCTAGCTGTCCACACACGTTACCCTGGTGCTATCCAAAAATCCTGGGGAGAACACTGTGACATCTGTAAAGAGGATGTGATCCGGGGATACATACACACACAATATAATTTGGAAGAGTAAATAGAACTTTAAAAGTCAAGAATGTCTTTGAACATTGACTATTAAAGTGAGTTTGAAAAATTCAAGACCTTAAAATGTAATCTATGCAGCCCCTTCAATTTTTCCTTGCTTACTGCCTAAAAAGTTGTAATAGTTACAATAACCTGCCCTAAAACATAATTCAGGACGATAAAAATGTTCAATATGACAACAAAGTATCAGTGAAATATTTGTAACATACGGTCCATCATATACCTACATGGATGTATACAATAATTGACACCAATAAATTTGATGACTATGTTGTTCAATCTTGAAATGTAGGGCAGGCAAATGTGGCATTGTTTTGTACTAAAGAGACTAAACAGAAATTTACTCCAGATCACAGTGAACTAAATGAACCTTAATATTAAAATTGATCAAATATACATCATATGTGTGTAAATAGTATTTACCACATGACTAAGCATTTAGAATATAATGGTTAGTGCCTGGTTTATGGCCTTTTTTAAGAAAAATTGGAATACTCTGATTTTACACCATTGAATTGCAATTTCTGCATTAGAATACTACTAGTCAACTAACATATTGTCTAACATGTTAACACACCAGTAACAAATTACACTACACATGATATCACTTACCTACTGTTGGCCTAATACCATCTGCATTTTCTCCACTGAGTAAGGTGAGTATTGTACTCTTCCCAGAGTTAGCTAAACCAAGACATAACACAGAGAAGGTTGGTTTAGGGGCTGCAGGGGCCTTCCCACATATTCTTCTAAAAAACTGAAAAATACAAATATATACACTCAATAAGTATGATTAGCATATCAATATTTCAACAGCTAATTAAAAACATTTACAGATACAATCAGGACTTTTTAATTTGAAAATAATAAACTGACCTCTTCTGACATTGGGTTCCTTAGTTAGTGTGTAAATCAATAAAAAAAAAAAATAATTTGTGTTCATACACTTAACACGATCAAGAAACATATTAGTGTATATACACACAAAAGTTCATGTTGAAAACATAATCCAAATCACAAACTGATGAAATACAAGCAAATGTCACAGTATAACTTTAACATTTTGTTGAGTATGTTTTCAAAATTTACATGTCTGCAGTAAGTGTGTAAATAAATCTTATAATTCATTATACAATAGAGTTTATACATTTTTACCTCTAAATCTAGAATGTCAATGAGACTTTCTTTTCCACTGTCCATCTTTATAAAATAAGGAGATGTGGTATGATTGCCAATGAGACAATTTGCACATATACAAGTACTTTATATGATGTTTTATCAAAATCAAATCGATATCTTATTAATGTCACAGTTTTCAATACTTTCAATTATTTTCACACCTCTGTAGGATATTTTCCTATTATTTATCAAAAGGTCAAAAGTTTCTGATGGCCTTCGGCTGTTGTCTGCTCTATGGTCGAGTTGTTGTCTCTTTGACACATTCCCCATTTCCATTCTCAATTTTACATTTAAAATAGCTACAGAGGTCACAAAAACAGATACCGGAGGATTAACTTCCCACTTTTCAACTTATCATGAAATTAATATCTAAGAATTGCTATGCATGTTTTCAACCTTTTCTTAATATTTTGTTACCTTTCATGCTATTATAATATTATAGAGAACTGTAAACAACAAAATAGATCAGCAAATCAAGATCTACAAATAAGTCATTAATATGATCAAAATTTTCAATCCTCCCTTATACCAGAAATGGTCCTTGTATATAAATATTAGCTTATTTGGGGCATTTTTAGCTACTTCTTTAAAACAATCATACATGTGGATAAAGAGAAACTGGGAACAGCAAAAATGATCAGCAAGATACATGTAACATCTACAAAAAAGATCAATCATTGAAAATGTCAATTGACTCCTTATAGAATTTATTGACCTTAAATGATGTATTTTACCACAGTTTTGCTCTTATCTTCCAAATTATAAAATCATTATAGAGAGAAACAGTAAACAGCAAAAATGATCAGCAAGATAAGATCCACAAATAAATCATATGATAGAACATGTATATCTACTCTTTATAGGAGTTATTGTCCTTGAAACTTTTATCTTCATTATGTATTTTTGGCAATTATGTTGAAGGCAATAATAGATAGATGTAAGAATATACAGAGAAATTAGCAAAAATAATCAGTTAGATAAAATTTTCAAATAACCATACATAAGCAACTGCAATCAAGCTTTAAAAATGAAAATCAAAATGGGAGTTAGCTTCTAGCTTTCCATTGTCTATCTATATCCTTATACTTTGTTTGTGTCATCTAATAAAATCAATATCTTACAGATCTTTTATCGTTCAAACCACTGTAAGATGTTGCTTTAACCATGAAGTTACTTATATTTACCTCAATATTTTCTTACATGTTCGCTATGCCCGTATTGATATATTATTAAGTCAGGGATTTTGCTACCACAATTTTCTGAAAACCTTTATCATGGTTTGGAAGTTTGGTTAACCTAAGATATGATCAATATATACTTATTACTCCTTTGAATAACACTTTGTAGTAAGATCTTTGATATATTGTTTTGATTGGTTCCTAGTTTGATTTTATTTATAAATGTTTTATATACACAACTATATGTATTACTATCCAGTTATTAACACTTATGGCTCTACATCCTGTGTGGCTGTACCTGTAGAAAACTTGTTACAAACAGGATACCACATCCTAATTTTTATGCTAATGTTGTTTATGGAGCCAATAAATTTAGATACAATCTATCAAAACTTATTAATCATTTGAGAACTTGTGTTGTTGCACTATATAGGGCATAAATAAATAGTTGACCATGTAGGGTTCTCAAACTGCTTATGGTATTTTTACACAAAATCCATTGGGTGTGTAATGACAGACATTTTATTCTGTGAAAAGATGGTCTATTTATAAGTTGAATTTTGGCTCTGACTTTGATATACAATGTACCATTTTTCTTTAATGTTTTTAATTCCATAGTTCCTTTAGTTACACTTATCTTAAAATTAGTTAACTTTTAAATAAAGATTCAATAGTGACTAGTATTAATTTCATTTAATGAAACAAAGCCTTGTGTGTATCGGTTAGTCTATGGAAAGGTATATACTATGAAATTCAGAGCAAGGGCTTGCCCCAAGCACTTAATTTCATAGTATATACCTTTCCAATTGACTATCCAATTTAGCACATATTTACAACTTTAGTAATCTTTTAAAGTAATCTTTTAATTGGTCTATTGATAGTTTATTTTGGCTGAAAACTTGTTTCACAAGTGTTCATAAAACAGAGTTCATTAACTATGTTTTCTTAATTTACTCACTAGTATCAAAGTTATCATATTTGTTCAATTTGTGACAGTGATTTACCAGATCATGGGTTTATAAATGCAGTAAACATGAATTGGTAAAATAACAGTTTATAAGTCAGTCACACAAAAAAATGTGATTTCAAAAGGCTCTTGACTCCAGATTGAAAAGATGGTACCTGCTGATGTAAGTATGTATATTGATATAAAGTGGTGTCTTACTACATGTATTTCATTATATGGTAAGATGATATAATAAATTGACCAAAAAACAGGCTTACATAATTAAATTGCAGTGGGAGCTTTACATGTTTTAAAATTTTCTTCAATTACACAGTAAAACTAAAGCTATAATAAATTTGAAAAATACAGATATATGTGCCCATAAATAGTCTAGCGAATAGGCATAAAAAGCAACTATTAATAGATAAAAGATTATAATTTTTTTGTATTTCAAAGTAAAAACTAATAGCTTTGTCAGATTATAGGTAAAGGTGGCACATCCCCTTCAGACATTATCACAGTTTTTCAATTCATAATGAAACAGACCAAGTTCCTTAGAAAGTAAAAAACATCATCATCAAGTTGCCTTGATGTCCGTTCACAAGGTTTCATAGTACAAGTACATACTTTTTGTGTACAAAGTAATTGCATGAATGATAACTTACCACAATTATGAGATAGTGTTGTCCTCTAATCAAGGTATTAAGGACCATATTTAATTTGTTATTCTTTACTTAAATGATAGAAACTTGCAATTGTCAAAACCAAAGATTTTAATATCTTGATTACAACGCAATACACGGAAAAATATGTACTATGAAACTTAGAAGGCAAATTCAAGCAATTTGATTGGACGAGAAGTTGTAAGTATGTGCTAAATATAATTAATCTATGGTTACTGTCTAAATTCGTACGTATGGAAAATTAACTCATGTGTGAAAACAAAAGGTGATAAATTAATTATCAGCATGCTTCACGTGTGAATTTTTTATTTTTATTTTGATAATCCGTATGCTGCAGGTGTAAAACAATAATTCATTTAATCATCCGCATGTGAACTTTGATTTAAGTACATATTCTTTGTATAATATTTAGATTACTTAATTACAAGCCATTTACATACGTGTCATGTGTTAGGAATATATACAAATGTACATACATGTATGTATATACGTATAAAAATAAAGAGATGTGGTAAGTTATCATTCATCCAAGAGCTTGCAGCAAAAAACAACAACAACACACAAACAGACTTAATTATAATGGACTTTGCCAAAGCATTTGACAAAGTCCCTCATAAAAGACTTCTCTATAAACTGAACTACTATGGTATTCAAAATGAAACACTAAACTGGGTCTCTCTGCCTTCTTAAATGACAGAACACAAACAGTTGTCCTGGATGGAGAGTCATCTGACCTGGCTCCAGTCACCTCAGGTGTCCCTCAAGGCACAGTTCTGGGCCCAGTATTATTCTTGGTATACATCAACGACCTACCAGAATACTTACAATCCAGTAAGCTCAGACTGTTTGCCGATGACAGTATCATCTACAAAACCATCAAATCTCAAAGTAACTGTGATGAATTCCAGTTAGATTTAGATGCAGCTGCTAGGTGGGAACAAGACTGGTTGATGGCTTTCCATTCAGACAAATGCACAGTCCTCACAGTATCACAAAAGAAAAAACAGTTTAAACATGACTATGTCCTTCACAATCACAAACTTGAACTAGTCTCTTCAGCTTAATATCTGGGCATTACACTACAAGCAAACTTAAAATGGTCAAAACATACAGACAACATCATAGCTAATGGAAACAAATCTTTGGGCTTCTTAAAAAGAAATTTAAAAACATCATGTCAGAACATCAAAACCCAGGCATATCTGGCACTGTTCGTCCTAAGCTTGAATATTCATGTTCAGTATGGGACCCTCACACAGCTGAACAAAACTCTAAAATTGAGATGGTCCAAAGACGAGCTGCCAGATATGTCTGTAACAGGTACCATAACATCAGTAGTCCTACAGACATGATAAACTCACTAAACTGGCCCACGCTACAAGAAAGAAGACTACGCACAAGATTGATAATGTTCTACAAAATAGTCCATCAAATCGTAGTAATCCCATCTGCCATTATCATACCATCAGACAGTAGAACCCGCAAAAACCATAGTTTCACTTTCAGACACATTTCTACTAAAAAAGATACATATAAATTTTCATTTTTTTCCGTACACCATTACTCAGTGGAATTTACTACCAGTCCACACAGTCGCTGTAACCACAGTCGACACTTTCAGAGAACAGCTTACACCAACTGTTCTCCACAAATTCATTTAACTCATTATTAGCCTATGTACATAGTTTTAATCACACTTTAAAATTCTTACGCACTCCAAATTCATTTTCAATTATTTTTGTGTTTTTGTAAATATATATATAGGCCACGC